GGTTCGGAAGGTCTCCCAGGTTCTCCTCCTGTGCCTCACTCACCAGCTGGGAGACCACAGGTAATACACTTAGCCTCTCTTAAGCTCAGTTTCTGTGTCTTTACAAAAGAGCAGTGGGGTGCCTGGGGGACCTCAGTCAGTTCAACGACTGACTCTTGGATTCGGCTCAGGTCGTGATCTCAGGGTGGTGAGATTGAGTCGCACGTCCAGCTCCACGATCAGCAGGGAGTCCGCTTGGACATTCTCTCTCTCTCTCTGCCCCTCCCCCAACTCAGGCGCTTGCACTCTCTCTCAAATAAATAAATCTTAAAAAAAGAGCAGTATCTACTCAATAACATTTGTTGAGCATTCCAAACACCTTAAGTGCATTAACTCATTAAATCCTTAGTACAATTCCTTGAGATGCTTTATATCATCCACATTCCACACAGATGTACACAGCGGTATGGAGATGCCAAATAATTAGCCCAAAGTCACTCAAGGTGACTCAGCAGTGATTTGAATCCAAAGCCTGCAGGGCCAATCCCTGTGATATACTGCCTTTCTTAAATTGCAGTACATCTCAAATAAGAGATGTGTATGGATATACCTAGGACACGCAAGTTCCATAAAAGTCTTTTTATTACCACTGTTATTATCAGGATTCTAATGCCGGGGTTGGGGCCTTTTAAAAAGGCTCTTTCCAAGTTGAAGTGCCTGCTTCGTCGTTCAGGACGTAGTTCTACATCCCACTCCGCACGTGAATCGTTTTTTAATTGGGTTGAGCTTTCCTCTCTAAAAATTCCTTTTGATAACTAAAGGAGGGCAGTATTTGGCCCATGATTCTGAATCTGGGTTCTGATTACCAAGAGTGGTAATTCAGGAGGAAAAAAGCCCTCTCACACCCCACCCCCACTCACAGAGAATCATGTGCTCAGGAAGGGCCTGCTCGCTGTCAGGCTCTGTGCTAGGTGCTGGTCCCACGCTGGCGAACAAAACACATGGTTCTGAGCACCTGGGGGGCTCAGTTGGTGAAGCGTCTGCCTTTGGCTCAGGTCATGGTCCCGGGGTCCTGGGATCGAGCCCCGAGTCGGGCTTCCTGCTCGGTGGGGAGTCTGCTTCTCCCTCTCCCCCTCCCCTGCTCGTGCTCACTCCCAGTATCTCTGTCGCTATGTCTCTTTCTCTCAAATAAATAAAATCTTCAAAAAGACAAAAAAACAAAACACATGGTTCTTGTTCTCATGGAAATGTTGACAATGGAATATGACATTGAAGAAATCTACAAATTGTGTTATACAGTAAGTGTTATAAAGAAAAAAAAACAAAGAGACCATTGGAAAGACAGTCTGAGAGACAATTTAGGTGGGGGAAGGTCAGAGAACATCTCTCTGAGGATGTAACATCCAGGGCAAGTAAGGCCTGAAAAATGAATAGAAATTTTCCAGGTAAAGAGTGAATGAAAGAACATTCCAGGCAAAGACTTGAAGCAAAAGAGCTTGTCACACTTAGAAAGCATGGGATGTCGTAAGGGGAAAGGGGCAGAAAATGAGGCTGAAAACTACACAGGCCGTGTGAGAGTCTCATAAGGTTTGGCATATTGTGCAATCTGAAAAAATACCTATTGTTTTCATGGTACAAAGTGGAAATAAGCCCTAACTCCTCTCGACTCTAGGAGTGGACATGGGCACAGTTTTAAAAAGAATAAGTAATACCGACTCCTTTCAAGGATATTAGTATTGCTTCTAAAAGAGCGAATCCCGAGATGCCTGGGTGGCTCAGTCGGTTAAGCGTCTGCCTTCAGCTCAGGTCATGATCCCATGGTCCTGGGATGGAGCCCTGTGTTGGGCTCCCTGCTCAGAGGGGAGCCTGCTTCTCCCTCTCCCTCTGTCTGCTTGTCTGCCTACTTGTGCTCTGTCAAATAAAATCTTAACAATAAATAAAAATAAAAGAGTGAATCCCTTCGAAATCCAAATCAAAACCTCAATGAGATACCACCTCACACCAGTCAGAATGGCGAAAATTAACAAGTCAGGAAACGACAGATGTTGGCGGGGATGCGGAGAAAGGGGAACCCTCCTACACTGTTGGTGGGAATGCAAGCTGGTGCAACCACTCTGGAAAACAGTATGGAGGTTCCTCAAAAAGTTGAAAATAGAGCTACCCTATGACCCAGCAATTGCACTACTGGGTATTTACCACAAAGATACAAATGTAGGGATCCGAAGGGGTACGTGCACCCCAATGTTTATAGCAGCAATGTCCACAATAGCCAAACTGTGGAAAGAGCCAAGATGTCCATCGACAGATGAATGGATAAAGAAGATGTGGTATATATACACAATGGAATATTATGCAGCCATCAAAAGGAAGGAGATCTTGCCCTTTGCAACGACGTGGATGGAACTGGAGGGTGTTATGCTGAGTGAAATAAGTCAATCAGAGAAAGACATGTATCATATGACCTCACTGATATGAGGAATTCTTAATCTCAGGAAACAAACTGAGGGTTGCTGGATTGGTGGGGGGTGGGAGGGATGGGGTGGCTGGGTGATAGACATCGGGGAGGGTATGTGCTATGGTGAGCACTGTGAATTGTACAAGACTGATGAATCACGGATCTGTACTTCTGAAACAATGCAATATATGTTAAGAAAAAAAAAGAAGATAGCAGGAGGGGAAGAATGAAGGGGAGTAAATCAGAGGAAGAGATGAACCATGAGAGACTATGGACTCTGAAAAACAAACTGAGGGTTCTAGAGGGGAGGAGGGTGGGGGGATGGGTTAGTCTGGTGATGGGTATTAAAGAGGGCACGTTCTGCGTGGAGCACTGGGTGTTATGTACAAACAATGAATCATGGAACACTACATCCAAAACTAATGATGTAATGTATGGTGATAACATAACATATAACATAACAATAAATAAAAAAAAAGTGAATCCCTTCAACGTTCCGTCTGATAGTTTTGCCTGGAATTACGTAGTAAATACCCACGTGGTCTACTAGGACATGTAAGACCTCAGAAGGAGGTGAAGACAGTTGAAGGACATTGACTGTGACCAAACAGGGACCAGTAGCTACTAGCATCAATAACCCTCAGGAAGTGACAAGAGTGATGTGTCATGAGCATGACTCAAGTATGAAATTAAGCTCAGAGCAACGTTCTGAATTGTAACACTTATTATATATTGTATATTGAGGTTTAAACTATCTATCTAATTCAGGGGACTGAAGACCAGGTTGGATCAGGACAGAGAGGGTAAGGCTGGAGAGAATTAAATGAATTAATGCAGGTCAAGCACTTCAGAATGGTGCCCGACCATCAGCACACTGAGCTACCGTTATTATCTACAGTGATTTATTTTTTCCAAAACAGAATTTCAAGTTAACTAACACTTAGGGGGATAAAAAAACATTTGAATAAATAAGTTGGCTATGTTAGCTATGTATTACCAAAATGAGCAATGAACAGAAGTTTCACAGTGAAGATGGCAAAATTCAAATAGTACGTGTAATATGCCGAAAGGACCAGATTAAAAAAAAAAAAAAAAAGAGGGCGCCTGGGTGGCTCAGTCAGTTGGGCGACTGCCTTCAGCTCGGGTCATGATCCTGGAGTCCCGGGATCGAGTCCCGCATCGGGCTCCCTGCTCAGCGAGGAGTCTGCTTCTCCCTCTGACCTTCCTCCCTCTCATGCTCTCTACCATTCTCTCAAATAAATAAATTAAATCTTTAAAAAAAATAAAAATAAATAAAGAATGTTGCAAAAGGGAATGTACTTTGTAAATATTTATCCTATAACAATGTTAGGTTACAAACGACCGAAACAATAAAGCAGTGTTGCAGTTACTTTGGCCGGCTGCCCCAGGAGGAAGCTGTTAGTATGTGGCCAGCCACCAGAGCCTTTTTACAGAGAGGCAAAATCAGCTGCACTGCCAAGGAGTAGGTCTCCCTGCGCCAACAGATGGCCCTTCTCGTCCTTGCTGGGTTCCTAACCTTTCTCGGCAGGACTCCAGCAGACATCTAGAACTGCTTTAGGTGATTGGCCTTTGTTCATCCCCAGGCAATATTCCCTATTCCAGTATTACTTCTGGTTTTAAAGCCCCAGTAGGTCTACAGGAAACCAAGGATAGAGAATTATGAATCGGGCATGCTGAATACCAAAAAGTAATGCAAACAAGGAAAATTTTTGCTGCCCTGACAGTATGAAATAAATTTATTCACCAGAACGGGCTGTTGGTTCCAGCCCAGGCTGCTAACAGGTAGACTGAGTCCCAGATTTCAGAGCAAAGTGGTGAGAACAAAGCACGGAACGTTTTCCGATGGGCAGGGCAGGCATGAGACCTCCTGAATGAACAAGCAAGCTTGCTGATCTCAACTCAGACATCCCACAAAACCCTGCCGATGAAAGCCAGGTGTGACTGCCCCCCCCCGCCCCCCGCCGGGATCTACGGTGTGAATGAAGAAGGATCTTCAAGAAAAGGATCTAAATATAGTTCAAAACCCATGGCGTCTTAAGGAGGTTGGAGGTAGCCTGGGAGGGAGTAAACAGATACAGAAATAAACAGTTGAAGAACAAGAGTAATTTTGATGGCTTTATTAAAATGTTCATCACAGAATTCTTTACAAGACCACCAAGTCCCCAAAAAGTCATTCAACAAATATTAAGACCTTCTACATACAGGATTTGGATCAAGAAAGGCAGATAATCCGTGCTCCTGTTTCTTAATACGACTCCAGAGTATTCTTGGGAAGCTTCATTCACTTACGAATTCAGTAGTGCTGAAATTCTGATTTAGTATTGTGCTTGTAATGCTGTGTCTCTTTGTTCACATGAACAAAAGCCTATTGTTCCCACTCTCTCTTAGGTACACACGGCTCACAGCGTTTAGATATATATTTATATCAAACAGTTTTGAGTTGCAAATTGATAAATATCTTAAGGAAACCAACCAGCATAGTAGTCAAAATTACAATACATTTAATCCATTGATTTTAAAGTGTAGACAAACTTTGGGATCTTCCTCATGAAAGAAACGTACGCACTGTGCCCTTGACTGCGCCCCTGCAGATAGGACATCTTCGCAGAGATGGGGCGCACTCTCTGCACACGACCAGGTGGCCACACGGAATGAACACTATGGAAACTTCTTTGTCCATGCACACTTTACACGTCCTCTCTTCCTGCAGCCTCCTCAACTGCTCTTCCACTGGTAAATCTAACAAGAGAAAAGAATTTTTAATGAAGGCACCTTGTTGCTGCTTCTCCAATGAAAAGCCAAGAAAAAACCCATGATTCCTACTGGTTTAAATCATTAATACTATTTTACCTGAGACATTTTCCGGGGGGATATACTTTATGTCCTGTTGCACTAAGGGAGAAACACAAAAAGCATTATTAATAACAAGTAAGGTTAATATTTAGACACAAAATATATATTTTTAAACTAACAGCTTAGACTCTGGCCAAATGCCATCAATAAATGTCATAACGTCAATGCAACAAAAATCTTTCACCTTTTTGTGCAACAGTTTGTAAATCAGATTGAATTATTTCCAGTAATCCCAAAGCATTGACAAGAGCATTTTTTTTTGTTTTATTGAACCGAATTGAATTTTAAGTTCCAGTGAGCTAACACACAGTGTAATATTAGTTTCAGGTGTACAGAATTGTGATTCGACACTTCCATACATGACCCGGTGCTCATCACATTAAGAGCGTATTTCCAACTGACCTAGAAAGTTCCCCAAAGTAATTGTGCAGCACTCACCAAATAAACGCTTGTATAACACAGGGTCTGTTTCTTGTAGAGAGTTTTTAAATATGGTGACCGCAAAGCTTCCCTTTCCTAACACAGTGTCAATCAGTTCTCTTGCTTGCAGAGACGTCTGTGCCTTCTGCTTAATCACACTGCATTCTTGCTCACTAATCACTCTGGCAGTTAGCAGACTATCCAGGATTGGGGGCACGTAAGTCAAATGCTGGAAAAGCACCATTCTGTTCTTCCGGATCAATGATACGTCGTCTTTATAAAACAAGAAAACAAACACAAACACGTTCCACCTCTGCTCACAGGGACACATGACTGAAGAAGTCACGATCCGTTCGCACCGCAGGTGACTGCAAGGCTGGGGGTCCCCGCGGCCCAGCGTCGGGATGGGCACTCTCTGTCATGTGTCCCTTCATCCCATGTTCCCAGCGGCCACCCGCGGGAGGCACTGGTATCCCCCCCTTAGCAGAGGAGAGACAGAGGGCGACACACTGCAGGACACACAACGGGAAAAGTAAACGGAGGCGGTCTGGCGTCAGTCCGCGTTCCCGCACACTCTGCACGGCTGCTCAGCCTTTAAGCAAATCCAGTTTAGAACCTAAGAAAATTAAAATTCCAAATCAATCTAGTCAACTTGGGGAAAGACAGAATCAAGAGAGATTAAAATGACAGAATGTTTATTTCTTAAATTATCATTCACCTGTACAATTTCTTCGAAATTCGATTTTAGGATAAAGTTTTAATTATTTCCCCAAATTAGACATGACATTGCCATTACCCAAATCTTTTATAGCAAGTGGGGAAAGGCACTAACAGCATTTTAAAGATTAAATCTTACTTGTCAATGATATACCTTCCTGTCTATAGGATCATTGTATTCTCCGCTGAGATCCAGATTTTGTCTCTATTGATAAAATATTTTATATTTTGAAATTCTGCAATTTTATTATCTCAGAATATGACTTGTGAATCTAAGTTTATTCATTAGTACACAATTTTACTATGATCCATAAGGCTCTTTCTATAAAATAACTAATGACAGAAGTTGGGCTGTCTAAAAAAATTATTTGGGGGGACAGGACTGTTAGATTTTAGAAATACTGACCCTGTCAAGCAATAGGACATAAAACTAGAATCATTTAATAAAAAATAGTGCTTAGTAAAAAAGTCAAGGCCAGAGACAACGAGCTCTGGGAATAACTGGGAAAAGGACCAGGGCCTTTTTCTATCTAAGATTTCTTTTTCTTTTTTAAAAAAGATTTATTTATTTATTAGAGAGGGAGTAAGAGAGAGAGAACGGGGGTGGGTAGCAGGAGGGGCAGGGACAGAGGGACAAGCAGACTCCCGGATGCTGTGGGGCTGGATCTCACGACCCTGAGATCATGACCTGAGCTGAAATCAATAGTCAGATGCTCAACTGACTGAGGTACCCACATGTCCCTAAGACTTATTTTTCTAATTACATTTAACTTAGACTAATGTAGTAAGTTCTCTGAAATTCTTAAGATTTCTTTTTTTTTTTTTTAAGATTTTATGTATTCATTTGTCAGAGAGAGAGCGTGAGCACAAGCAGGGGGAGCGGCAGGCAGAGGGAGAAGCAGACCCCCCGCTGAGCAGGGAGCCCGATGGGGGCTCGATCCCAGGACTCTGGGATCATGACCTGAGCCGAAGGCAGACGCTTAACGACTGAGCCACCCAGGTGTCCCAAGATTTCTAAAATTGTATTGCTAGTGGTTGAGGAAAAAAGACTCATTTCAAAGTCATAGACTGTATTCTGGCTTGTAAGAGCTAAAGACTTGAATTTACCTTTGAAGCATATTATTCTTTTGCTCTGGAAATAATACCCTAAATTGTCTCTTTATTTACACACCTGTCAAGAAATTACTTACCCACTGTTCTTGGGAAACTATAAAGTCATCACTAACCCAAATGAAAATATTTTCATTCGCTCAAACACTATTTCTTGACACAGAGCACGTTCAGTGTGTGTGCTGTGGGCAGTGTAGACAAAACGGAGTAGAGATGCTACAAGATCTTTCTGATGATGCAAATTATGGTGTGTTGTTGACTGCAGTCATCTCTACAGACGGTTGATTTTCTTTGACAGAAATACAAATGTGTCATAGCTGGGGTCTACAAACAATTGTGGAGGTGGGTGTCCTCTTCTTTGAAAGATGATGACCAACAGCTAAGATAGAGAAGACCACCGCAAGGACGGGCAGACAAGCCTGGGCTGTGTTGTTGCTGTGCTGGTGGTTTGTGGAACTGAGGACTTCACTCTTTGGTAAAGACAGGATCAGAGGTGCTTGCCCAGGTTGTGGCCAGAAGACAAAGCCACCTAAGGGGCAGGCTTCTTCAAGCCTGGAGTGGACCATCGGCCGATCATCCTGGCCAGAAAGATTCCAGATTGTGCTGGGCAAAGATGGGGCAAACTCTTTTCCAAGGCTTTGGGGGTATTTAGGAGCGTGGGCTCTCGCAGGGGAAAACATGCTTGGGACTATCCTAGTCACTTATGTAAAATGTCCAGAGCTACACAGAGATGAACCCAAACAGAACCTAGACAGAGAGACTCATGAGGATGGGCTTAGGGGCGGCAAGCAGGGCCCAAACAGCTACAGCTGTCAATTACCACCCATGATACAGCGCTCCTCCACTGTCCCTGGATCTCTGGTGAGTGCCACCCGTGATACAGCGCTCCTCCACTGTCCCTGGATCTCTGGTGAGTGCCACCCGTGATACAGTGTGTTCCTCCACTGTCCCTGGATCTCTGGTGAGAGCTTGCGAAAACTGGCCATCTATTTCCAATAGACTTATGGATCTGGTCCCTGCTTGGCAAAGAACAGCAAAGGAGGGATGAACATTTCTGTCTAGGTCAGACTGAGGACAGCATTCAGAGTGGCCACCTGGGAATGGACATGCTTGGGGGGGGGGCAGTCTCTGTGAAGGGCCACAGAGCAGAGGGCACACGGCGGCAAACACGGCTAGCGTGGAGGGACGTGGCCACCTTGTCTTGAGAGAACGTGCAACCGTGTCCTCGCCCTCCGCTCAAGAACAGAGGGACTCCCTGAAGGGGAGCTCAGTCCCTGTGGGCAGGCGGGAAACCTCATCATAATTCACACATTAACGTGTGTTATTAACGCTATAACTAATGTCACTGGGCTGAGACACTCTGGACACTAATATTAAAATAACTGTCCCTGATCCCACCCCAACTTGCAGCGAAGGGAGTGAGCATGGGATCACAAGCCATGAAAGATTACCTACACAGTCCATGACCCAGAGTAAAAGTATAAATTAAGAACATGCTTTCACTCAACACATACATTTTCAATTGACTAATGAGCAATTCAAATACACTGTAATGTAAAAAATTTCCAGAATTCACATTGAGACCACTGAACATAACACCTGATCGCCCTGACAAGCAGTAGGTTTTCTGTGACTGACGCACGGTGACATCACATCCACACCGTGACATCACATCCACATGGTGACATCACATCCTCACCGTGACATCGCATCTGCATGGTGACATCGCATCCGCACGGTGACATCCCATCCGCACTGTGACATCACACCCTCACGGTGACATCGCACCCGCACCGTGACATCGCATCCTCACCGTGATATCACACCCGCACGGTGACATCGCACCCTCACCGTGACATCGCACCCTCATCGTGACATCGCATCCTCACCGTGACATCGCATCCTCACTGTAACATCACATTCACACAGAGATGGACACTGGTCAGTATGGGTACATACCTGATTCTCTGTTCTCAGCTGCTCTTTCTTTCTCCTCTTCCTTTAGTTCATCCTCCGCGTGAAGTAAATCAGACACAATATCGTTAACAGTTCTGTAATTCTCCCCAGTGGTCAGGATCTTACTCTGCACGGTCTGCCTCACCAGGCTTCGACTGAAGCCCATCTCCAAGGCGGCCTTCACCACGGGGGTGTTCATCATGACTGCGTCTTCTGAACGGTTTTCTCCAGGTCCAAAATGGACAACTACATGAAATAAAGAATTTCACACATGTTGGGAGAATCTGTATATCTTTTGAATTGAAAGTTATTACGGTTTCAAAAACATAAAGCCCAGAAAACGTATAGGCATTGTTTTGTATTAACTTTGTTAAACTTAAAATCACAATGTACATGTTCAGTCACTAAAATAAGAATATGGAATATTGTATTGCGATACAAAATATGCATTATTGGGCATAACTATGGGTGGGAGGAAGGAACAGAATGTCGGGGATCCCCGTCCACCAAGAATTCTTTTCTCCCCAGGATGAATGAACAAATGAGCTTTCTAAATCAAGTATGTTTCACAGATTTTTCAAAGAGGCCATTGTCCTCACTCAATCCAGCATTGCAGGGCCTCCCACAGCGCCTCTCCTGTCTAGTTCCTTCTTGGTAATATGCCACCAGAGTGGTTTTTCATAAACACAAACCCAACTATGTCACCCTCCTTCCAAAATCCCGGCAACAATTCCATTGTTCCACTGTTCTCACACTCAGCTGTGGCTCACAAGATGGCACCCATCCGGGCCCCACTCGCCTCTTCAGTCTCATCACCTGCCACTTTCTCGTTCACATGCCATGCTAGAGCCCAGAAGTCACAAGCTGGCTCTCGGGTCAAACTCTGCCTGCAGGGCTGATCACTCTGAGCGCAGGCCTGTTCACAAATCCCACTCTGGCCATACAGAATTGTGTTCAGTTCTGCAAACGTGCCCATTCTTTTTTGTCACTTAAGACTTCCGTGCACCGTTCTCTCTGCCTAGAATATTCTTTTTCTCCCTTTGTCCCTGGTTAACTCCTACCCTCCCCTTCGATTCTGTGCTAAGTCAAATACTTCCTCTGGAAAGCCTCTCTCATCTTCCAAAGTCAGGGTGCACAGCCTCTCATGTGCTCCCACAGCACAGCACCCTTTACTTCTCTGACCATATTCTGTGTACTTGTGTGTATCCCCTGGACTGTTCGCTCACGAGAGCAGGAGTTCTGTTTGCCCTGTTCTGTATTTTTTTCTTGGAGTAGCAGACACACGATAAATATTTATTGAACTGAATTAAACACTACATAATGGAGAGAACAGTTTGTTCAGATACTGGCTCTATATCACCTTTTAGGTTTAGCCTCAAAAGACAGGTCATTTAACCTTTCTGAGCCTCAGGGTCCCTGTCGAGGAATGGGAATAACATTTTCCACCCTCTTCATTTCACAGAAAGAATGCGTGAGCCGTCTCATGTCATAGTGCCTGTGTTCCCACAAGGTCTGAGAGCAAGGGGGACGCTGGATGCATGCCGTCTATTAAAACTACAGATACTCAAGTCCCTCCTCGGATGCCATGCTCAATACAGTAGGGTTAAGGTAGAGACCAGAGATCTGGTCCCTTAGGCAATTATGATGCACACTAAAGTTTGAGAAATACCAGCTTAATGCATTTGAGAGTGCATCATATAGAGCTTCATACAAATGTTCATTAACCATTATCAGCTTCCAATCTCCATAGGACCAACAGTTCTATTTAAATGCAGTAATTATTGTCTTTATACGTACTTGGTGATTCAGCATTTTCATCTTCTGTGTTGTCTGAAGTAGATAACAGCTACAGGGGAAAAACGTTTACAAATTAAAGTATAAGTCTGAGCCTGTCCATTACAATATAAATGAGTCAAGAGATCTATTTTACTCAGTTCATTGCAAACTGACTTGCTTACGGGCAAAATGATTTTTTATCTCTAAAGCAGTATTTCATTTACATTCAAGAGTTATTCTCTACACCATAAACTATTCTTTGTGGAATCTGTATTCCTGAAGGCAAGAAAAGGGCTACACCTTCTCAGTGATATATGAGACAATCGTTGTTTGCATTTCATCCCAACATCTTACATTTTCTGGGTCATCCTTTGGGATACGTTGGACCCTCTATCAGTTCTACTGACTATGGCTAAAAAGTGTTTGACCCTCAAACTATTATATACCTTCTTATCTGCTCTTCCAGGAAGATTATTACCCATTCAGCACGTTGACTATATCCTGCCACTCCCTTCTGACCTGCGAAGTTTCTGCTGAAAAACCTCTGCTAGACTTACGGGGTCTCCCTTTTACGTAACTTTTTCTCCTCACTTTGAAGATTCTCTTTATCACTACTTTTTGCCATTTTAATTACTGTGTATCTTGGTGTGTACCTCCTTGGGTTGATTTTTGTTGGGGGCTCTCTCTGCTTCCTGGATCTGGATATCTGTTTTCTTCCCCAGATTCAAGAAGTTTTCAGCTATTAATTCTTCAAATAAATTTTCTGCCCCCCCTTTCTCCCTTTTCTTCTTCAGGGATCCATATAACGTGAATATTGTTATGCTTGATGGAGTCATTGAATTCCTAGGTCTATTCTCATTTTGCATAATTTTTTTTCTCTCCTGCTCAGCTTGATAACTTTCCATTTACTCTGTCTTCTAGATCACCAATTTGTTCCTTTGCTTCTTCCATCCTGCTGTTCATTTCATCAAGAGTGTTTCTCATTTCATTTATCTCTATGTTATTCTTTATCTCTGTGTTACAGGGCTCACGCATGTCTTTTCTCAAGTTCAGTGAGTATCCTTATGCTAATTGCTTTGAATTCTCCATCAGGCATGTTACTTGTATCTGTTTCTCTTAGGTCTCTTGCTGTCGTTTTGTCCTGTTCTTTCATTTGGGACATATTCCTCTCTCTCCTCACTGTGTCTAACTTCATGTCCGTTCCTCTGTTAGGAAAGTCAGCTACATCTCCTGCTTTTGAAAGTAGTGGCCTTATGAAGAAGAGGTCCTGGAGTGCCCTGCAATGCAGTGTCCCCCATTCCCCCGAACCTGGCACTTCAGGGGCATCTCCTGTGTGTGTTGTGTGTGCCCTGCTGTTGTGGCTAAGCCAATTTTGCCTTTATTTCAGCCATTTGCAGAGGCTGTCTTTGCCTGTTGTGGGCAGGGTTTCATCCCTGTATTGTCTGTGGGCCAATCTGGGGCCACTGTGGGTTTGAGTTGAGTCAGACCAGAGATGCAGTAGCCCCGAACCACAGGGCACTTTCTCTGTGTTGTTGAGAAGCTTTCACTGGTGGGTGGGGCCTGCAGGCAGACCAGCTGTCTGCTCCCAGCCCACTGCTGGGGACACAGTGGGACCGGCGCTGGCCCCTGTCGGGACTCCTTATGCACTACTAGGCTTGCATCGCTAGTTTGGATGCGCTCGGCCAAGAATGCATTGGATGGAGTGGATCCACAAAGTACATGGTGTTAACAAGGTTTGTGCCAATCTTCTGGCTGGAGGGGACCCATGGCACCAGGACTGGGGAAGGCCATTGGAGGAGGTGGCACGGTTTAAGCAAGCAAGGTAGTGAGCCTCAGCACCACCCTGGTTCCCAGAGGTGGCCGTGCATTTATGCTGAGGGACAGAGGTGGGAAATGGCACCTGCCAGCGCCCCTGCTCCTGCAGACATCCCTCAGTGAACTTCGAGATTAGTGAGTAACTCTGTCTCCCATTGTCCCCGGTGTTTTTCAGCCTGCTGCTTCTTACACTGTATCTCCACAGGCTGTTTGTTGTGCTGTGTCTTTAAGGTCAGGGACTCAGTTTCCTCTCACCCACTGGCTGTCCCAGAGCCAAGCCTGCCGTTTTTAAAATTCCAGTTTTGAGTCCTGCTGGTTGTAAGAACTCACAAAATTGAGCCCCTCTGGTCTTCACAGCCAAATGTTACGGGGATTCATCTTCCCTGTGTGGGCTCCCTGGTGTGGGGTCTGTTTCTCTCCCCCTCTGAGCCTTTGGCTCCCTCCTCCCGCAAACGGCCCGTGGTCTGCTTAGCTGCCCACAGAGTCTCTGCCCTTCCTACCCGCATTGATGTGGCCTTTCTCTGTATTTAGTTGTGGAGTCTGCCCTGCCAGGCTCCAAGTCGTTTTCTGGGTTATTTATGCTGATGTGGGTGTTACCTAGTTGTATCCATGGGAGAGGCAAGGTGAGCCCAGGATCCTCCTACTTTGCCACCTTCCCAGCAATCTCCTTCCAGGAAGATTAGAAGGAGTAATAAAATTCTCTTTCTCAAGTCTTTTAAACAAAAATTTGTGTAGTAAAACTATTAAATGCTACCATCCCAGCCAAGTTTTTTCCTCAAATAATTTATTGCAACCTTACTATAGAAATACTTAGAGCCATATCTTAAACATTATTTTTCAGGAAATCTCTAATTCTGAATCTGTTTTTATCCAAAGAATAGTTCTAAGATCATGTTGGGTATTTTAAAAAAATGAATGTATTTTTAAAGCAACTCTTGTCTTTTCACTAAAGTACTACTCTCTGTAGTTATCAGAAAATAATTTATCTGTCGTTAACCGATGATCTAAAGAAAACCTTCCCACCTGTTCAAGTAGATGAGGGTAACTGGCTTGAATTTGACTGATGAACTCTTGTCCTTTGACGCATATCAAGTACTCACACCTAAAATGGAAACAAAATTAAGTTTATTTTAATCCCACCATGTGTAGCTTGTTAAATATTTTGAGTGAACATAAACATATATATAACCCCTTGACACTCATCTGGCACCCTGCAGTAAAGGCAAGATGCTGTAAGTGAGAGAGGCTGCGCATGGCGTTGTGCCGCAGCTGGGGTTACATGGGTCATGAGGCTCCCAGTCTCCTGGGGGCCAGGAAGGCTGTCTCCGCTCGGAGCTCCCAGCTGCTCTCTTCAAAAGTTCGAAGACTGCTACAGATACTCTGAACACTGAGAACAGAGCCAGGGAGACAGGCAGAGAGCCTCCTCATAAACGACTGCTCACACATAAGGTTTGTAGGTTTAAAAGTTCACAATATACAAAGAGGGACAAGAGAAATAATGAGGAAGGTGAACACATTTTCTAATTAAGTCAGATCCTCCCAGGTTTGGCAATTCCTAGATAACACACATCATGGTCTAACTCAAGCACAAAATGTGAACCCCTCACACAAACAAAGCAAACTCACCCTTATTTTTATATATGCACAAAATTACCACCGTGGAAGGCTAGCAGCACTGTTCAAAAAACATCTGGGTAAGGTATTCTTCACAATCTTTGTAACTTTTGAAATCTAAAATATTTGGGGCGTGTAAAGGTGCTATAAATAGAGTATTATACTAAAAACTTATACAAGGAAAATAAGTCAGGATACTGAGTTTAGTAAGCAACATTAAAAACACTAAAAGTTTTTCATCATAAGCCACTTGATTTCAATAAAAAAAAGTAGATGTAAATAAGCACGGAATAATCAAAAGCGTAAGGACTGACAATGAAATGTTCTGTAGTGATGAAAACAGAGGAGGTGGGTCTCTATTTACCCTAACCACCCTATTTAATATTGCGACTTGCCTCTGATTCTTCTTACTCGGCTCTGTTTTTTCATTCTATCCATAACACCTACTATCTTCCAACATGCTACATAATTCATTTATTAAGTTTTTATTAATTATCTGCCTCTCACGCTATTAAATTAATGTATGAGACCAAGGATCTTGGTTTTGTTCAACTGAGGATTTTAACCACTAGAACAGTGCCTAGCAATAATCAATTAAATTAAATGTTGAAAGAATGGAAACACGTTTAAGACGTAAGATTGACTGAAAAAAAGTTTCAAAACAGTATATATATCTAATTCATGTGACATTATATACATTTATTTGTATATGTACATATACATGAAGAGATGTCTGCAGGGATATTCACTAAAATGTTAACAGGTCCTCTTTTTTTTCCAAATGTTAAAATAACTTCATGTTTTAACAATTTAAATTCAATTAACATATCATGTATTATTGGTTTCAGAGGTAGAGGTGATTCATCAGTCTTATATCACACCCAGTGCTCATCACATCAGGTGCCCTCAATGTTCATCCCCCAGTGACCCCATCCCCCCACCTCCCCTCCAGCAGCCCTCTTTGTTTCCTGTGATTAAGAGTCTCTTATGGTTTGTCTCCCTCTCTGATTTTGTCTTGTTTTATTATTTTTCCCTCCCTTCCCCTATGCTCCTGTTTTGTTTCTTAAATTCCACATGAGTGAGATCATACGGTAACAGTCTTTCTCTGATTGATTTATTTCGCTCAGCATAATACCCTCTAGTTCCATCCACGTCGATGCAAATGGCAAGATTTCATTTTTTTATGGCTGAGTAATATTCCATTGCATATATGAACCACATCTTCTTTATCCATTCATGAACTAGTCTTCTTTAGATAGTGAGATTTCTGGACACTTACATTTTTTTCTCTGTACTTTTCTACAATGTGTGGTTTGGGTTTTATAATGAACATATAATATTTTAAAACAGATATATGGGGCACCTGGGTGGCTCAGTTGGTAAAGCGACTGCCTTCGGCTCAGGTCATGATCCTGGAGTCCCTGGATCGAGTCCCGCATCGGGCTCCCTGCTGCATGAGGAGCCTGCTTCTCCCTCTAACCCTAACCCCTCTCATGTACTGTCTCTCTCTCTCTCTCATTCTCGCTCTCTCAAATAAATAAATCTTTAAAAAATATATATATTCTTTGCTACACACACACAAAAAAACCCTGAGCCTCTATCTTCCACCAAAATCGTTTATTTTTCTAAGTAATCCGTCCTAAACTTATTCACAAGTGCGTTTTTGAAACAAAGAGTAAAGCGAGAGCTGATTCTAACGGAAACACACATAACCCATCTCGTAACAACCACACGCATTCGCGAAGAGAGCTTCACTGCAATTACCTCGGAAACCACTTGGCGTGCTCCACCCACGGGTCGTCGCCAGATTCCCAACACCGCAGTCCGCCGTCGCAGCAAAAGCACTTGACGTCGTCGCTGTGACCTAAAATTAATTTTGGACCAGAACGTCTGAATTCATAGAATGTGCCCGTTCCGAGCGTGTGAGGTAAAGCACGGGGTCGGGCTCTCGGATGACCAGATGGGGTTTCTTACCCGTGTAATAGAAGCCCGCCGTGGCGAGCTGCTCGGGCCGCACAGGCACGTGGCGGGGCCAGCTGCAGAAGCTTCTGAGGCGGGCCGCGCGGGTCTGCATGCTCGCGTTGGACGCGGTGGATCTCAGCGCACCCTGGAGCTGACGCTCCACAAACGGGCAGTCGGGGAAGTGTCTCAGGTGCTCTGACAGAGCGCTGTCGTTGGGTTCCCAGTTGCTCAGTGTCCCGCCGCAGGTGAAGCAGGCTACCTTGTCTCCGGGCCCTACGTAGTAGAAGCCAGCCCTGGCAAGGTCCGGCGCCCGCGGAGAGCTCAAGGGCCACGGCCGGAAGGTGAGTAAGCGGGCTTCCGCCGTCTTCACGGCGCCGTCACAGGGGCTGGGCCTCCAGGGAGCAAACTCCGGATCTGGTCTGAAGTTCACGGGATTCAATGGGAAGCTGGAATAAGACCCACTGAAATATCCAGTGTTTTCCAAACTGGGAGGCAGTGGATGTGTGGAATTTGTTACTGAACAAGGAGGAGGAGGTGGAGAGCTGGCTCCCGAGATGCGGGCTGAATTTAGACTCTGAATAAAGGTGCAGCTGGGGTAGAGCTGTTTGTGCTTTTCAATAGGGTTGTCTCCAGGCTTCCAGTTGTCCAGCATCAGGCCACAGCAGAAGCACTTGACCTTGTCGTTCACACCAGTGTAGTAAAACCCCGCCCGGGCCAGACTCCTCTCGGAGACGGGGACGCCGGCGGGGAACGTTGAGTATGTAGACATTCTATAGAGTTCACATGAAAAGTCATATTTCAGCTCAAGCACGGGGGTGCTTTTCAGCAAATTGGACAAGAACAGGCTATTCTGTACAACGTTCATAGTGAAGTGGACGGGGAAGAAAAGGGACTAGCCTTTCTCAGGGGAGGTAGTTTTGTGCACGGCTCTTGATTTGGGTTAGTTTTAGTCCTCGGTGGAGCATCCACACTGGGACGTCTCTCATCATTCTCTTCCTCTGCACGTTTAGGGTGTTGGCTGAGAGTCTGCGTTCTACACGGACACATTTTAAGGGACAATTACATACACCCGCACCTTTGCATGATCTTTATACACACAGTGTAAACATGGTGATACACAGCACCTCATGAAGAAAATCAAAACCCTCCGTGAAAGCGTAGAGCACTTTGGGTCACCGGAGGCCACTCCACGTCTGGTCCCTCCCAGGCACAGTGCAGCGGCATGCAGCCAGCCTGCAGACGAAAGGTGGGACTTAAGCAACTAGCTTGTTTGCGTGGGGAAAGCTATGCTCAGTAAGCGCTCTACAGAAACTAACCTCAAACTAGGTTTGTTTTGCCTTTTTTTAATTATGAGCTTTGGTAGCCAGAAAAAAAGAAAAAGCATAAGACCTACTTCAAAAGAACACACAACCCTATTTTACTGATTTTAAGAGGCATCTTTCAAGTATCTGTTATTGAGAGGTATCTTACAACTAATAACATATCATATTTTAATTAGCAGCATTTGTATTTCCCAAAAGTATTTAAAGTGATGGTGTGTCTTACAATCAATGACTTCTGAGATGCAGTGAACTATAGCACATCCCAAATCTTGCTCAAATTAAGTAATTTTTCTTCCTATAATAATTTTAATAGGGAAAACAAAACAATCTAGAATTTCCCTATAAATGAAGAGCTGAAATAGGAAGGGAATTGGTTGATGCATCTTAAGGCCTATTTCAAAATTTATTAAATAATAATTACTTCCCATAATCAGGAGCTTGGTTGCTGAGTCATAGCGATTCCACTAGAACTTAGCAAATTAAACATTCTATTTCAAATAAATTATCAAGATGAATGTATTCACTTAGTTGGTCTTTTTGGGCTCAGCTTCAGGCTGCTGAGAGACAATACCAGGTCTTCTATTCTGATAATGGATTTATTTTTTAAAAGAATCAAAAGTCAGAGCACTGAATTTGTAGCTAAGCTGGATAATCAAATCATACAGATTTGGCTTTGGTCAGAACTAATTTTATAGAAAGCATACCTTGAACCAGAATTTATCATAACAAAAAATAATAAATTTACTTTGTCACAGTCTACTCCTTTTGACAAGCAAAGACCTTCGTAAAATTTAGGATGTCTCAGTTGTGACTAGCTACCAGTAAATAGGGTCTGCATCCAGAATATTAGCAAGGACCAGCAAACAAGCTGTATGGGTTTTCTAGCAGCGGTCTGGCCCCCGGTCCACTCATGCTGGGGCTTCCACGCGGACTGTAATGCTTTACGTCCAGATGGCATGAGAAATGTATCTCCATACCGGTGATGATTTCCCTCAAAGCTAAGTTACTGTGCCTCACTTTGGTTTGCTTTTCATTGGACAAAAACATTACACATTGTTATAAAAACCTTCCTGGTGCCAGTCCCTGTCTCTGTGTACCTCTTCTCTGCTAAGTCTGTTCACTTCCCAACATGTCACCACCCAGCTGTCATTCCCATTGCTATCCTTGGCACAGACAATAGCGCATTTGAACAAACTAAATTTTGGACTTCTAACATATCGGTGGTCATCTGCATGGTTGGATAATTTCTTCTCCGATCGACCCCGCTCACGTGTCTCTCTCACCATGTGTTGTATTTTGGGAAGTGTTGTTCTTGACGTTGGACTTCTTGACTCCCACCTGTCAGAAGTCTCTCCTGCATACTTCTCCAATCTAGCAGAGGGCTGAAATATTTACTCTTCGTTCTAGCTAACTGCAACTCATTTTTAGATCTTTACCAAACACGAGTTCCTTTTTTCTATCCTGCACTGCAGCCCGTGGCTCAACAGTATGTTCCAGCGAGAACCACTTCTCCTTTATGTCACAAGTCAGATTCAAATCAAGATTATTATCACTTCATAGTTACAACTCATATGACTAGATTCAGTCATATGATCCAGGTTTTTTAAATTAACATTCTTTGGATACCAAAACTCCAGTTCACTATTGAATTTGTTTATTCATGCACAAAACTACCTCCCGGAGATTAGACTAAGTCCCTTTTAAGGGTTTTAGGCCTCCATTTTGAGATGTTTTGATTTATAGAAAAAACTGGAAAAAATCTAGAAGTCGAATAGTTTGCCTCTTTTGTAAAACCTGTTTAAAAAAAACAGAAAGACAGTTATAAAAGTCAGGCAATTCATAGCTGTACCACAATGCTCTCTTTTCAAACCTTTCCTCCAGCACAGAGCACCAGTGGTTCAGGACTGTGTACTGTGCACACGAGGTCCTGCATGACACATGGCAGTGGCCAAGAAATCCTGGGGGGACCCGCGGGCTCAAACCGGTGCCCGCAGGGGCACGAGGAGGTCTGTCTCACACCGACTCGGACCTCCGTGCTTGACTTATTTCTCTTTCTATTTTGAAATTAATTTATACACAGAGAAGAGTTACAGACACAACAGAATTCCCGCCCACACGGCGCTGGACTTCCCAACCCCTCCCAGAGCCGTACAGAACACAGCACAATCGGAGAGGCTGGGACGTTAGCACCGACCCAGGGCTGCTGATCAACCTGCATGCCCTGCTCCAATCTCCCGTTTTCCAAGTACGTCTGTTCTCGGATCACAGTTTGGTTTTTCCTTTAATGTTTTGATTAATTACCAACATTTTTTAAAAGTAAGATTTCCCATGACATTCTAGATCCCAAGCTCCTTTGGATAAACCCAACGGGCAACAGGGCAGTTGGCGCACGGCGACAGTGAGCTGCTGTGAGCCGGCGCGTGACTCTGGTACTGAGACTGTCCCTCGTCTGTCACTGAACGGGCACTAAGTTTCCTCTGACGGGACAGTTATGAAGAAAGTGAGATTGTCCTGATACCTGCGTCTGTCGAAAGTGACGAAAATGCAAGGTGGACAGAGAGAGACAAGTCTAGGAAAAAATGAAGGCACCATATTTCTTTACGGAAAAGGGGACTATTCCTACACATTAAAATATGTATCTAAAGTATGTTTTTGTTTAAAAGAGAGACCCCAGTTCTGTTCATTTATGCCACCTGCCTGGCCTCTCTACATTTGAGACCATAAACCCAGGCTTACGCTACAGACGCCTGTGGAAATATAGGCAACAGTTTATGATAAAAGAATGAAAATATGCCAAGATACCCCTCCCGCATCGGTTCAAACTCTCTTACCCACTTCCACACGTAGACCTCCAAATGCTCTGGGGGGACACCCGAGACCTCACGGGCTGGGACCGCCACAAGCTCAGGCTCTGGCCACCTGCCCAGCCGTCCACGGCCCAAGGCAGCTCCCTAGCCCACTGCCCTCTGCAACCCTGAAGCCTTCAGGATGCTCCCCAAAGTTCCCCCCAATCCCCTTTGGAAGACTGCCTTGCCTTCTGGGTCCCTAAGAGACCACCTCACTGAACAGTAACCCTTTCACACCCCCAAATCCATGCTTCTCCCTTAAAACCCACCTGCTGCCTCAGAAATCCTGCTCCCAGCCCTAGCCTCTCCCTTCCTCCTCCTCCTCCCTCCGGATTCTTCCTTCAAGATAACAGGCGTGCTTAAGTCTGTGTCGGCTTCGGCATGAGAACAGCAACAAAAATCCTCTTTCAACCTCACTTTCCATTCTAGCAACTACAGTTGACTCCTAAACAATGCAGGGGTCAGGGGCGACCACGCCCTCTCCCCACACTGTTGAAAATCTGACTATAACTGTGGACTCCCAAAAAGTTCATAATAAATTGCAGTTGACCAAAAGCCTTACTGGTAACAGTCGGTGAAACGCGTATTTTGGATATTATATGCATTACGTACTGTATTTTTACAATAAAGTCAGCAAAAGAAAACGTTAAGAAAATCAAAGGAAAATGCATTTACAACACTGTACCATACTTATCGAAACCATATGCGCGTAAGTGGGCACCGGGCGGTTCAATGTATTTCACTTTCTCTTCACAGCCCAGTGAATGCAACAGCCTCTCAGTCAAGGCCTCCTGCTGCAACTGCATTTGGCCAACATCGCTTAAAACTGTCAACATTAATAACACCAAAGCCTTCTTTCCCAAAACCTACGGAAATGTTTACATCTGACGCTGGGGCCCACTTCCTCTTAGAAACGTCCTACCCCAGGGGCGCCTGGAGGGCTCAGATGGTTAAGCGTCTGCCTTCAGCTCAGGTCATGATCTCAGGGTCCCAGGATCGAGTCCCGCATCGGGCTCCCTGCTCAGCCAGGAGCCTGCTTCTACCTCTGCCCCACGCCCCACCCCCAGCTCGCTCGCTCTCTCACAAATAAATAAAATCTTAGAAAAGAAATGTTCTCCTTCCTTGGCTTCTCGATACCACTCTGGGATTCCTGTCTCCTTTCTAGTGGTTCCTTCTAGGAACGGCTCAAGGTCTCAGCCTCTTCTCTTAACAGCTCTGGTGGGCAATCTGCTTGATCCCAGGACTGGTGGGTGTCTCCACCCTCTTGGGCACCTGGCAGACCCAAGCTCTGATGCTGGAGGCTAAGTGTGCCTTTCCTTCCTGCCTCCCCCAGACGCTGAGCTCCTTCAGAGCAGAACCAGCTATCAGCTCTGGACCAGCCCTCCCACTACCAACATCCACCTGGCTCTGCACAAAATGGAGACACTTGCTGCACAAGGCAAGGTCAGCAGACTTGACCAAGCACCCCGTGACCACAACAGCCTCATCTGCATGGGATTAAGAACATCAGTTTTACGTTAATGACTACAAAGTCTGCTCCCCGATGGTTTAATATCAGGGTTTGAAGTCACACCTCTTGGGTTTTTGGATACCATTCAGGCCCCCTACCAGAGGGCGTGACCTTGGGCAAGAAAACCTCCCTGAGCCCGAGCAAGCTCATTATCCACGGAGATGATCATGGCAACTACCTGAAACACACCTGAAACGTGTTTGGAGAGGGTTCCCGCACACAGCAGGTGTTAGCAACAGCTGGTGCTACTAATGACTGCTAGCAAACCAAGTAAGTACCATTGTTAGTTTAGCATCGGACCGGTGCCCCGCAACCCCTGGCTAACTAGATGAACTGCAATGCGGGCTTCCCATGCTGCCCACCAGGACACAGACCAGAAATCTACTCTCCGTGCCAACACACGCCAACATTCGCTCCTCCACGGGGTCGCGAACGATGTGACTGGGTTGTTTCTATGAAGTTCTGGGGCAGACTGTCCCCAAGCTCACCCGGAGCCCTCCACGGCGCGGGAACACC